TTTTACATTTTGAACGAAAAAGAAAAACCAAAGACACACATTTATTCCTAAATGTTTCAAAGTTTTACCAAAGTCAAAAAGAAAAAAAAAAGTTTTCTGTAGAAAACCCATTTTTATGGGTTTTCAAACTTGGTATTTATTTATCAATGTAACCGACATAATTGTTAAGAAGACATGAGTTGTTTACAAAAGACATCATGCATTTATTAATGTGTCATTTTGTGTGTGAATGAAATCGTATAAAAATAAAGTTTAAATTCTCAATATTCAGTAGATTGAAATATTAATTTAGATTTTCAAACTACTAACTTGCAATTACAACTTGCCTTTTCGATATTATACTTTAAAAAAATGTTTTACCAATTCAATAGAAATTATTTTTAACTACTAGGTACCAAAAAATGACATTTACAAGATAATCGAAATACTAGATGTTTCTTAATTTTTGTTAAAATACCTTGTTTAATTATACATATTCTTTCTACTGGATTATCATCTAAAGATGAATTTTTTTAAAATTAGTTCAAAAAGCTGGGGAGGATTGTTTCTTATTTTCATATTAAACAGAGAAAAGTCGTTGGGGATTTAATACATAAAGGCAAAAAAAAAAAAAAATTATTAAATCATTTTACTCTGTTTTTCCAGAAATTGTGTTACACAATTAGAAACGCACTCGATTTGATAATAATTGATGAAATTTCCACTATTTGAAAGCAACCGGTAAATTCCTAAGTTTTTGTATTAAAATATCGGGTTTTTTTGGTTGTTTTTTTTAGTTTTAATTTTATCTAACTCAATATACGTATATGGAATATACTATATTAAAATGTATGCTACAAATGCATTTTTTAAAAGCATGATGCTATTTTTACATTTTATAATTAACACTTATCTTTACTTTAACAGTCATGCATTTATGATGAAATATAATTTGAAAACAGATTGCACTTGTTTATTACTTAGCAAGAACTATATTCAATTTATATCGATGCAAAAGTAAGTAGTTAAATACAGTGTTATTTAAAGTCTTTCAACTTGTGCAGCTGCAAAATATAAATAAATAAAAATACCGATGTATTCCAATAAGAAAAGTAATATTTTGGCTTTGATCAGGAGCGGCTAATTTTCAAAACAATACGATATTTATAATCGAATTCTGTGAGCCTGTAACAAGATTAACCTGAACGATATGGATCACCAATATATATCGAACAAAGCGATATTGTATTTATTCCATTAATTGTAAACGATGAAAGGCAAAAATGTCTAATACTTTTAAAATGTTATAAAAATTAAATTTAAAGTAGTTTTTTTAAATTTAAATAATATCTTTTATTACACATTTCCCCTGGGAAGGTGGACGGCACTTGACTTGCTCCGGGGGGAGGGGGTTGCAGTCGAAGTCTACCTGAAAGAAACCCTGATTCGAATAGTGTAAGCTTCTAACAAGATTAGCTTTAAATATACCGATCATCAAGTGTATCGATATTTCATAGATTTTACTAATGTCCCGAGTTACTATTCTTTTTAAAAGTGTCTTTAAAAAATGACGAATTAGCAGTTTTTCAATAATATGTTTAAAAAGAGCGGAACCATACCGGGACAGGGAAGGGGGCGCCGAACGGGTGCTTCGCACAGGGCGAAAGTTTAGCTAAGGCCGGCGTTGTGAAAAGCCGAAGGAAGAAAGACACCGGCTGCTCGTGCGGCATACAACAAACTAGCGGCCCAAGTTCGTGAAGCAGTCCTAAAAGAGAAAACGGCCAAGTGGGTTGGAGCCAATGTTCCCTCTAAGGTTTGTTGGTTCGTGTGCAAAATCATGAAGGTGTGTGCAAATTTTTACAGCATCAATTTTTTTGTGCGCAAAATTTTCAGCCTACAGACACTAAGTGGATATTAGCTGCACGTACTCAAAACTGCTGCGCGGCGTCTGTGAGATTGTTGCGCGGCCGCGCAGCTTAAAGGGAACATTGGTTGGAGCGTGTGGAAAACTAGACCTCGCATACGGGCAACAAGTTTAAAGACTCATGGACAGTGATTATTTCAGAAATTCCCCCCCCCCCCGGAAAGGGGGGGGGGGGGCACTTCAGGTTTGGGGGGGGGCAGGGCCAGGTGATTTTTTTTTGGGACTTTTTTGCCCCGGGGGGGGGGGCGCACTTGGCCCCCCCCCCCCCCACCCCGAGATATAGCTGAAAGAAACCCTGCTCATGGATAATCTCTCTGGAATAGGTCGGTAAGCAGATAATCCCAAAATTACTATAACAGCAGATGGCAGGTCATCCATGTACCGGTACTCAACAAAAGCGAATATGAATAATAATGAATACCAAAAAGACTGATGACAGCCGAATTATCAAACCCCTTGCGGAAAAAACTGAGCACGAGCCCAGCGTAGGGACATGTCCTGCCATCTGCCCTGTCCTATTTGTAGGAGCATTTGGATACTGATATAGTCGGCCCGCTGTAGGACCTCTCTATCAGGGACTCTGTTCTGCCATCTTATGCTAATAAGTTTACGTAGGTAGCTTAGGTGGATATGGTTTAGCTGTCTAGCATGTCTGCTGGACACTGTCCACGTCTCACTGGCATATAGGAGATATGTCCTATATAGCAGTGGTCCCCAAATGGGGGTCCGTGGAACTTCACCGGTCCGCATGCCTAACGCTGCCGGTCCCCATAACATTAATATTTATTGTCAAATAGAAATAAAAGTATAAAATAAATCATGCACCGGGCCCTGGAAAAATATCGAAACTTGTTCACTGGTCCGCCAAACTTTAGAGTTTGGGAACCACTGCTATATAGTATATATTATTATACAACTTCATATGATTTCTTTGTGTCACAATTTTTGTTATGTAAGAAAATTAGTTTCATTTCGGATTTTTTGTTGGACTATGTCAGACTTACTTACCCATCCACTTCTTGCTAATACGGTAGATAAAAACATATCGATTAAGGGTACTCAATATAATTACAGGTGCAAGTACTTTAAATAATTATAGTATATACCAGTGGTTCTCAATCCGTATTCTGCGGAACACTGGTGCTCTGTGAGGCCCATTCAAGTGTTCTGCGAAAAAAAATAAATACACAATTAAAAATTGTTGATAAAAAATCAATATCAGTACTAACAATGTAAAATCTTTTTGTATGGGATTGTAATCAGCAAACGTGAATGAATAACTTTTTTGTCCATTCGGGCATTGGTGTGCCTGTGCAGTTCACATATGAATTCTGAGCAATCAATGTGGTTTATTTTGGCAATTTAAGTGTAAGTGCTCCACGGGTGTATGTGACTCATTAACCTTGGATACAACTCATCTATGAGAAGGAAACTCTGAATTCAAACCCAGAGATGGTGTCCCATAAGCTGATAACATTGGCACAATGAAACATTGTGGATTTCGTCCTGTGAAGTTCACACCATCGACATATTGTGACGCACGGATGCCAGCAATCAAACAAACAAAAATCAGTTTAGTGTTACCCGAATTCAAAAGATTGAGAACCACTGTTATAAAGTACATACCTCTAATACTGAGATGACAAAGTCATGTTCAAATAAGGTTAAGCAATTTGATCTTCAAAGTGCAAACTTGAACATTTTTATCCACCGTCAGATGACGTTATTTTTCTCGACATCAGTGAATATTGGCGGTTGTCACCTGCATTGGTTTGACTACAGAATGAAGAGGATCAACTAATTATAGCAACGGACCGGAAGGATAAGATTCCGACTAATTAGTCTAATTGCCAGGTTGAGACCAGTTGTGGCATCAACTTTTTAGTTGCTACCAAAAGTCGTCGAAAAGCTTAAGAACTAATTGGCGAGATGAAGCCAAGATCATTAGCGAAGAGTGCTAAACTGTTAATTTTCTATGCAAATATTACCGTTTGACTAACCTACTAACGCAAACATGGACCATGTTTCTGTCAACGCCCTGACCTCGTCTGTTTTATATGAAGAGTATGGTAGCTTGATCTTAAGCTATCATCCAGCGCAATATATAATGCAATCCATTCTCTGTTGTGGTCATACCCTATATTGCCAGCTGACAAATACTTATGCTCTCATCAAACACAAACCCATGAATATTGAAACCCGTTGGTCTCGTTTTTGCTGTAGCGAACAGCACATAAGTTGAATCCAAGTAACAAATCTCCAATGTGAAATGTACCTTCACACTGACAAGATGCAACGTTTCCTGGACAAAACTTTGCCCTATGTCAAGGAATGCACTTTATATTTTAAAAAATGTATGTATATCTATGGAGTTCTTATTACCCAAAAACTTTAATTTTTACGCCATTTGCTAAGTTAGTAAAAAAAAAAAAGAAGCTTCATTACTTCCTGTGATAAAACAAAATATTAGTGCTGGTAGAAATAGGTCAGTTATACATTATTTTTTTTTTAAAATCCTTTATATTAACTTTTATCTGTGTCTGGCAAAACATTTGGATGGCTAATTGACCCACTTCCCATCGACCTATTGAGCTGAAACTGGGCACATAGACTTGTTAAAGCAGTGAGTACCGGTATTTTAGGTTGGATAATGTACAAACTTTATTTTAAAACTGATCCCAATAAATTCGGTTGAAAATGCTATGAGTTTTTTTTAAAAAAAAATTTTGACACACCCCCCCCCCCCCCCCCCCCACATGAGGATATTTTTAGTTTGAAATCCACTGATAGCTTAAAAGGCATTATGAAAGCTATTTATACCAAGTTTGATCAAGCCAAGATGCAGCAAAATAGAAGCTTAAATTGTAATATAAGTCTTTTTGCATAGCTTTAGCTATAATAATGAAAAAACCTTGCAGATCCTTCTACACTCATTTGGAACTTTCTAGAAACTTCAAAGTTATATTTTTAAAAAATAACTTGTTAAAAGCGCAAAATGGCCAGACAACCTCAAGAACAAAAAATAAAACTGACCATAACTCATCTTTTTCTGTACCATATTTAAATCCACTAAAGTAAAAGATATAGTAAATTTTAATCTAAATACTGGCAGTTTATTTACTATTTTAATGTGCCATTAAACTGTTGAAAAAAAAGATGTATAACACAGGTGAGAGAACTATAACTGTAATAAAGAAACACACCAGAAGTCAACCGTACATATTTGCCTATTTTGTTCTATGACTACAGTAGATAATTCCTTTTTGTACGCTTTCAAAGTAATCAAAGTATATGATGAATTAGTGACTCTTACTTTGTGTAGTATTTTAAAAAAAATTTATTTGTGGACTAAACAGACAGAGCAATTTGTTGTTACAAGTCCAGTTCTGTGAACATTATATTGAGAAATTAAGTATCATGACACAGCCATTTCCCGTAGTTTTTGAAATCTTCTCCATTCTCCAGTTGCATAGTTCATTTGAAAATAAGTGTCTTCAATCTTTTTCTTTACTGTACCATCTGGCAAGTGTACAACTTCTTCTTTTTCACTAAGCTTTATATTGAGAACAGCACCTTGTTCTGGACAAGGATTTTCTGAAAGTAAAAAAATATTTTTATTCTAAGTCCTTTATAATAATAAAATGAATATACCGGTACCTAATTACTGATAAATAACAAGGATAATTTTGTCACATGTATAATCACCAATATACATGCAAATTGATACGGTATACCAATAATTTTTATTATTTTCCAATGACAAGCTGAGATTTCCAAATCACCACACTATTATAAACTATTCTTATACAGAAATACCGGGAAGACTGCATTCAGATTGAAGCAATTAGAAATATAAACAGGGTAAAGAAAAACCTAATGGACAATACAAAAAATACAGAGACAAACAATCACAGCTTCTAGATATGTAGTTGACAGGAGATTTTCTATTACGAATGAAATCAAAGAATTTGCATATGAGATTAACAGGTAATCTAAAAGAAATAAAGAAAGAAAATTCTCTACCCTGGGTATTTTTCTTATAAAACTTTTGCTGACCTTGCCTCACAGTAAAGCAGATTGTAGCATTCATTCTCAATGTTAAAATAAACCTAAACCGATTGTCAGAAATCAACCTAATGGTGAAACGATCCCATCTATTTAACAATTATTAACAACGCAAAATTTACAATAACATTTAATATTTTCAACCAATAAGCAAATGGGCATAGGTTGCATTAATAAAAAACATGATTAAATGAAAAAGTTATAAATTATACTTCTTTTAATATTCATTTATTTTCTGTACAATTTTTTTTTAGTTGTACAGGTTTTTTTGGGTACTTTTTTTTACAGTTATTGATCCAGCAGGTTGGCTTGTATTCACCAATTTTTAAGCAATATAAGGATTCAACTAACGAAATTCAATAAGCTTACAATGCTTAATACTTAATAATAATAATCGTATTTGTATGGACTGAACATTTTTTGTACCTCTTGATCCAGCCATAAACCCAAGTATGAGTGCCTTTTCTGGTCGTGACACTTTATTGGAAGCTTTAAACATTTCCTGGGCTTCAATCATCTGTTCTTTCTATAACACAAAATTAAAAATGTTTGTCATTAAAATTTTAAAAATATGATTATTATTGAAAATCACATTATTTTGAAAGTTATTTCATACATTAATAATTTATTCCTTTATGAATTCAAATATGAGTGTGACATTTAAAATAAATATGAAATACTTACCCTTTTCTTCAATTTAATTTTTATTTTATTTTAGCATAGTAACCAAATTAAATGTCAATTATAAATCAAATATGTGTAATTATTTTCAAAGATAAATCCATATATCAAATTTCATGTTTGTAGAATAATAGGGTTTTGAAGAAAAATTCAGCCACATAAAAATATCTGTACAGTAAAATGAACAATATTGTTAGATATTGGTCTCTTCAAAAAAAAATCTACCACACTATAGCTTTGCTTCTGAACTGTGTGATACTTAAGGTTAAAATCTCTTAATCTCTATATCTAAAAAGGGTCTAAATACCAATTTTCTTAGATATTGTTAACCTCCTATAAAATGTTAAACAAACCCCCCCCCCCCCCCACCCTCCTCTTTCCTTGCCCATGAACTGAATTTCCAGAAAAATAGAAAACATTTATTTCCTTATTTTTAAATAAAATCTATCAATGAGTCAAATACAAAAAATCACAATGATATACACAAAGATGAAGCCACAATGTGTCAATGCTCCTTAACAGTATTTTCGAGAAATGGAAAGCATAACTAATCCCTTATTTGTAAATAGATATTTACGAAATAATCACGCAAATGACGTCATGGCATGAATTGCATATTTTAACCAAAGCTTTAAGTTTCTTTGATTTAATAACCGGATAATGTATTTTCCCTTCTTAAAAGTAAAATTAATAAATATGATTGCTTTTTAATTAAAAAAACACACCAAATTTTAGTTTTGAATTTTGAACATTTAATGAGTTTTTACTTAATTTTCATTCCAAAAATATACTTATATAATGTAATAAAAACGTGATCTTTAAATATACTTTTAATAAGAAAATGCTGTTTAAGTCAATCAGTGCAGTGAAATTCATAGTCAAATATCATTCACTAATGCACTTATCACTCATCCAAATAAGAACAAACCATATGAAGTTGCAATTGGTTCATTTTGATATCTATATCTAAAGACCCAATTATGTGACAGCTATGAACTTTGGTATAGTTTTTAATGTTAAAATAAATACCCATACTTTTTCGAAATTGGAAATTATGCGCAAAATTATGTATTTTTTTTAGCAATATAAAACATGGTAAAAGGGATCTGGGACTTAAAAATGCTAATTAAGTTCAGGGGCACGGAAAAAAATTTGTGTTTTTGCATACGTAAGGGGCAACAATCCTGTGGATGATTTGTATTAAAATCTGGAGGGAAAAGGGGGGGGGGGAGGGGGGGATGATTTGATACTTTCATTTTGCCCCAGGCAGCACAAGATACACCTCAGAATAAAGGAATGAATTTGATAAATAATTAACCTTCTTAGGTACATATATATCAGCCGTAGGAAATAGGGTGTGTTTTATATTTTTAGATGGATGACAATATCTTTAAATCCAATGATATTACATTTGTTACATTCTCTTTTTAAAAATAAACATATCTTTACCAATTAAGAAAATCAATGGCATTAACAAAAAGTGGGTACACTTACATAAGTAAACCCATGTTGATACTAGAAATTTTCATCCAATGTTATCGAAATTATAATGGGAGGCACTTTGCGATAATTTCTACCTGCTACTGCAAAAACTCATCACAATTCCTTATTTTAAAAAGAAGTATCTATGTAATGATGTTTACGTTTCTAACATCATTAAAAGTTTTAAGAAGTATTTTTTTTGCTACATAGTATATGCCTCCATACCCCTTTTTGTGCCCCTAAACTACAATTTTTTCCCCTCTAAACATGACCTTAAATTACCAAATCTAAATGATCACTAATTAAATCATTATTGTCACTATGGAGTTCCTTGACATCTGATTTCTATTCTAAAAAAATACTTTAGATATCTTGTGTTTTTAAACTGCTAAATGTATTGTATGGTCTACCCTACCACCTTTCATGACCCTAAATTAAATATTTTTCTTTTCTAAATTCATTCAGCACTGCTTATTTTTTTATGTAATACCGATATATAAAATATTGATTTTGTTTCTGGGTTCTTGTGAAATTTGTGCTTGGACTTGTATGTTTTAAATAAGGTGTTTCCATCTTGAAATTATTTTTAAAAGGAGATTAGCACACCCTAAAATATTATCCATTATAGTTTAGAGCAGAGTTTAATTTAAATTAGAGTACCTACTAGTATATAAAAGTATAAATAATTGTACTAAATATATTTTTTTAAATCTAGTGCAGTGTACTAGGAATGAGCATACTGTATATTTTAGTGCATAATTCATGAATGATTTCCCCAGACTTAGTACAGGGATGTCGACACAAATCTATCAGTAATAAAGTAATAATTTTTTTTAATTGTTTTTATTTTTTTATTGTTTTTGTGTGCTTCAATCTGGTCGATAGTATGGGTAAAAGATAAAGTCACAGATTGTAGCCGTAGCAGGAGAAACTAGTAATATAGTCATTAGTTTTCAATTACATCATGCCCTACGTTAATTTATTGTCTAATTTTTCAAACTTTTATTTTTTATTCTAATTTATGTAATTCTTATTTGGAGGCTGTTGTTATTTAGACAATTAAGTGCAGTCAATGTAAACACGCCCTAGAATGACAAACTTCTTTTAAGTTTTTGTTCACGTGATATAGAGGTTGCATAATAATACTGGTATTAAAATGTTTGCATATATCAAAATTTGATCAAATAGTGATTTGAAAGTTGTGACAAGGCTTCTTAATTCATACAAAAATTGCATCAAATGTATGATCGAATATTTGATAGTGTGAAATGAGCATAAATCTATAGCTTTAAACAAATGTTTCTTTTAATATTTTGAAAGTGCACCATTCTTCAAAATAAATAATACCTTATTAAAAATATGTGCACCAGAAATTACTCAAATGAAGGTTCATGATCATTCTCAGAGCAAGAGAATTCCTAATAATAATTTTGTAAAAATAATGTAAAATTTGATTCCTTTAACTTTTAAATAAAAGCCTTTGAGGTGAATGGATTTTGATCAAAATTTCCCATAACCATGACAAATTTTGTTGCAAAAAATGAACATCGGTATCCATATATACACACACACTGCACTTTATATTGTAGATGATGATGGCCTGTTAAAGTGTTGTTGACTGTCTAACAGGAAATTTGATATCTTCATAAATTAATTTAAATTATATTATAAACTTGCAAAGTTTAGTCATAATAATCATTAGATAGCCTTTTCTTATATGATACTATAGAGAACTTTTTAAATTATAAATTGGCCCAGAAGTCAGCACTTAATAAAATTAACTGTGGATATTAAAAAATAGCCAAGATGATCTTTACTTGTCTTTATATAATTTAATAATATTCTGACCAAAAATTGACAATGTTTAAACTAGACTAGTATAAAACTTAAACACTTACAGTGAGTGATAAACCTTTTTTTGTACCAGGTGCTTGGGCTGCTTGGGGAGCCTGGACGGGCATTGGTGCTGATGTAACTGCCGCAAATTGGGGCTGGGTTAATTTAGTCCCTCCTGGCACAAGTATGGTATGTTGAGGTTTAACTATATTTGTTGAAAGTGCTGCTGATCCTGGGTTCACTTGTGCATTTGTAGCAAGAACTGAAGCTGCTTGAGCTAATGGCTGTTGTGCAATAAGAATTGGAGTCATCATAGGAAGAGATGATGGTATGGAAGGTCTTATAATTTGTGGTTGCTGCAACAACTGATTTTTAAGCTGTTGAGAGAGATTCTGTTTGGTGGCAGGTTGATTTGCTGATGACAATGCACCTATACCTGTAACATAATTATAATGGGTGGTTTTGTAAATTTTAACAATTATCATAAAACTAGCCAATATACCGGGATAGCATTTGGAAAAATGACAATTTCTACTATTACAGCCTTTTAATTAACATTGAAATTAAGCGCTATGAAAAAGAAAAAAACCCACCTACAGTAAAAAAATATAAACTTTATTTTTGGCAATAAAAACACATTTATAATATCTTTGTAAACCTTTTGTTCCCAATGGGATCCAGATCCCGGAAGGGATTGTAATTAAATCCTGTTTCTCAATAATATCCCATTTCCCGGTTGTATCCCAATCCTGGTGAAATCCCGATACTGGTGGGAACCTGATATCGGTAAGTTCCTGATCCTGTTGGTACTGCAATCCCGTGGGGTTGCGATACCCGTGGGATCCTAATCCCTGTGGCTTCCCGATTCCAGTGATCCCGGTGGATCCAGTTTCCCGGTGGGATCCGGATCCCGGTGGTTTCCCGATCTCAATGGGATCCTGTTTCCCGGTGGGATCCCATTTTTCAGCAGGATCCCGTTTCGTGGTGGGATCCTCTTCGCCGATGGTATCCCCTTAGCCAATGGGATTGCGTTACCGGTGGGTTCCAGTTTACTGTTGGATCTCGTTCCCCTTTACCATTTTGTTCCTGGTCGTTTTATGAACGGTATGATGTGTAGAGAAAATCCCCATGAAAGTATAGAAATGAACAAAACTAAACTAACATTATAATAAGCTTTTTTAAATCCCATTATATATATTGCCATAGAGCAATATAGAACTTTCTTGAACAACCTAGATTGAATTCAATACCCTCCTCGAAAAGTTTAAAAAATGAATTTTAAACACTATTAATTTTTTGAAATAAAAAAGAATATTCTACAACTAAGTGCACTACTATAACTATAGTACATTTAAGTTAAAAGAGAGCTCTGGTGGGGGCTCATTGCGTAATTGTACCGATTAAGTTTTGTCGGAGATGGGGACCCTATAAAAGTCAGTCAGATAAATAACATTAAAATTTAAAAGTTGTCCCATTTAAAATGGTTTAAATTTGTCATAGATCTAGCCTTTTGAAATAATCGAGCTTTCTATAAAATTATAGACCAGCCCAGAATGGATTGGGTATTATAAGTTTTAAATCCACCGATATTTCAATACGGACTATGAAGGATACAGCTACAAAGCTAGGCCTAGATCCATCAATTCACATAGAACCTATAATTAAGCCTATTGGTATTTTTATGGCTTATATTAGGAAAAATGAAATGGGGCAGAAGTGGATATTATGAGTTCAGTACTCATTGGTATTTAAATATGGATAATCAAGTGTATGTGTACTAAGTTTGGTCAAGATCCATCTTTTTATGTAGGAGTATTTTTTGGTCATTTTATTTATATAGCTCATATTAGAAAAAACTAAATTTAGGGGCCCGGGCCCCAAACAGAATGTTATAAAAAATATACAACCCCCAAAGAGTTCCTTCCGGATAATGATGGATACATGTGCCAAGTTTGGTCAAGATCCAACAAGCCTTGTAAAAATCTATGTTGAACAAACCCACAAACAAATTTACACTTATATTAATATATATATATATTAATATATATATACACAAACACACACACATACATACATACATACATATACATACATATATATATATATTTGTTAGAGTATGAATGTTTAGTTTAGAATAGCTGTACCCTAAAATGCGAATATTATAAAAAATTAACCCATGGGTAACCAGTGAATAACCAGTGAATCCTTATTTGCGTTAGAGCAAACCATATGCAGTGCGTAGCACAAGCTTAAACTGGGGAAAAAATCCACAAATGAAATTTCATTACTAAAGTTTTTAAATAAAAATACATAAAAAAGATGTATCTATTGCCACCACTCTGTTGATCAGTGTCATGAGCTTTTATTCATAAATTGCCATCATTCAACAAATCCCTTGCACCTCTACTACTTAAACAGTTAAAACTTTTCTCCAAAAAAATATTTGTGCACTAGTGTTCTTTCACTACAAAAGACTGACTGAGCACAGGAAGTACATAGAGGAAAGTTTGATGGTTGTATCAGTACTGTATATGAAGCATTTACAGAACAAACCTTGACTAAAATTGACAAAATTACTGTCTCTGCCAGGAGCCATTTTAAACCTAGCTTGATCCATACTTTCAACTACTTATATAATTACAAATACACACACAAACTAATAATGTGCTCTATTTGGTTGCATTTTTAACATGGAGTGTGAAATCTAAATCTTCATCTATGCCTAAGGTGTAGCAACGATTTTAATTAAAAATAGCATGAATCATTCAAGAATTAAAAATTAATGCATTGTGTTTCTTTTGAGTCACAAATATTTATTAATTAAATTCAAAATGTAAACATGAACTTGACCTATCTCTCAAATGAAATGTAGCTGGTTCACTTGTGTAAAGAAGACAATTTTTTTTTACACTATATTATTATTACAATAAACAAATTTGTATGAATCAGAAATTATTTCAGTGTTTAATTTTATTGATTTACCCAGTATTTAATTATACTATGAACAGTTTTAAATAACAAACTTTTGTCCAAACTGCTAAATGAATACCTGGTACCAGAATTTGGCATCAGATCTATAATTTTGTTATCTACATTTTAGGTAAAACTATTGATTTATATATTATTATTGATACCAGTACATTCCACAACAAGCTAGCTTCGTTCTCAGCTTTTCAACCATTCATATAAAGTTCATGGCCCAGAATGTGCAGTGAATGTGTATCATCTAGCTTATTTTAAGTGTAATGGCTAATTATTTGTAAACTTCAAGAAAAGTCAGCATCATCCCTTGCTAAGAAAAAGTGAATATCAAATTAAAAACGGAATGACTCATTGAATTTGGGCTTGCAGCACTACCAAATTTTTTCATCACAGCAAACTGTCAGACTGTGCGATTAATTTGTATAATATCATGAAGTTGACAATGATTTTGTTTGTGAAATGTGCCTTTATGATAATGCAGGAGGTGAACTCTGTAAAGGTAAAAGATGAGTGGCTTGGAATTTTGATCATCTAAATGACATATCAAGCAAAAATACAAAGATGCTGTACAGAGATTTCACTTTCTATGGGCAGGAGGTGTACTGCGAATGTTTACAAAAAGTTTTGCTGGTCGAAGCATAAGACAAGAAGCAGCACAACATAAAGTGGTAAATAAGACCAGGCTAAAATTTAGATTGACAACACCCTCTTGGCTTTCAACATGAAGACATCTTTGAATGTGGTTCAATAAATACGCAAACATATGGGTGAGGAAGCAACAGTGCCTAATAGCAGGTGCAGCAGGAATTACACTTTTGATTTTGTTGATTCTAATAATTCTGTAGTGAAGAATGCTATAATTAGAAACATTTGCAATCCAGAATTCCACACATGAACATTAGATGAGAGCACTGATATATCAGTGACAAAATGTTGATCTTATACTGAAAATGTACATTAGGAAATGGCATCAGCGAGCCAATTAGCTTTTTATGCCCACCCCCCCAAAAAAAAAAACACCACTCAAGCCCAAATTATCAAGCATGGGAGATATCCCTTTGCCAGGATAGCCCCCGCCTGCACTCACTGAATCAAAGTGAAGAATGCTTTAATTAGAAACATTTGCAATCCAAAAATCCAACCATGAACATAAGATGAGAGCACTGATAAATCAGGGACAAAATGTTGATCTTATACTGAAAATGTACATTAGGAAATGGCATCAGCGAGCCAATTAGCTTTTTATGCCCCCCCCCCCAAAAAAAAAAACACCACTCAAGCCCAAATTATCAAGCATGGGAGATATCCCTTTGCCAGGATAGCCCCCGCCTGCACTCACTGAATCATCCCAGCTAAAGCACATACGGTCGTCAGCAGTCGACTTTCCCTGGAGTTGGGATGGTATATTTACATCATAAAATCTTATACAAAAAGATTTGGAAATATCCCATTAATGTTTATAAGACAGTATTTGTTGTAATTTTGTCTCTGTCTGCATGTGACAGTGAATCCATGGAATCAGCAATAACAAGTTATTAAGAGAATTCATTGGACATGCAGAAAATGGTTATGTTTACCCCAGACAGTGCACTGGTTATACTAGGAAAGAACAATGGAGGTGCAGCAATTCTTTGCGGACGTATTCCACATCTACTGGAACAACATTAAGTAACTCATCGTGAATACTTAGGCATCAATGATGCTAGAAAAGATATGCCTTTAATGGCAGATATTGAACCTTAAATCAGGACAGTGAACACATTGTTCAGTAGCCGGACAGTATGGAAAGCACAGTTATTTATTTATTTATTTAGGCATTTTTATATAGCGCTTATCATAAAGCTCTAAGCGCTTTACAATTATTAAAACATGTAAACTAAGTAAATACAAATGAGACACTAGGATAGTAACTACTATACTATAGAAACAATGAAAATGGCTATAAAACGAGGACACTTTGACACTTCAGGATCAACCCGAAACAGAAAATGAGGTAGGGCAAGGAGGGTGCATCACAGGTCATAGGCGGACCTAAACAGATGAGTTTTAAGGGACTTTTTGAAAATGGACGAGGTTTCACTATGACGTATATGGAAGGGGAGCTAACTAAGGCAGTGCTGTCCAACCTTTTTGACTACATAGGTCAAAAAATATTTTCCCAGAGCCCAGGGCAGCAATAACATCTCAAAATGATTTTTTTTTAACTTTTTAGAAAATTATTGATATTATTACAGTCGAAACCTACTTATCTCGACCTCGGTTAACTCGCCAACTCTATTAAGTTGATGTTTTTGAAGTGGAACAGTGAAATTCTCTCTTTGTCTTAGCATTTTCTCATCAGTTACACGCAGATCGTGTTGATTTAATCTGAGATAGTTGAGGCGTGCGCCATCTGTTTTAACATGTCAACTATGAATGTTCTGTTGGAATAGTTTGCCACTGGAATGCAAAATATTAAATGTTTTCCTCATTGCTAATCTGTACACATATAATTGGCGTTGAGTAAGCCTGATTTGCTTGGTGGTTCTTTTACCAGGTACATGTAAATCTTTGTGCCAGCCAACATCCCCATAAGGAAATAAAAGCGGGTAAACCATAGGATCACTATTCATATTGAGAGTGGAAATATGCTTACAGGAGTTGCCTCTGGGATGGATGCAAATGTCCCTTTCGGCAGGGGGGGTTCGCCATCTTCTATGTCGAAAATCGCAGCAACATCGGTGTGACATGTCAGGTTATTGTATTGTCGTGAATCAAGCCCAGGGTTTTCCTTGAAAACCATTCATATACATGCTGCTGGATTGGCCTTAGCGATTTCATGCACATGTTTTTATGATTTAGCGAAGGGGTTGGTGATTCTGAGCATGGAATCTAGCTGGAAAAGTGAATTTTTGCTGCATGCAGAGTTTGCTTCTTTTTGTGAGCGTACTTCAGTTGCTTGCACTGTGTCCAAAACATACAACTCTCCATATCCTGGAGAGGTAGAAGTTTTAGTGCATAGTGGAGACATTTTGTGATACATTTTCCCCTTTATTTTGAAACAATATGATCCATGGCCAGGAGGTTGAGCTATATGTGAACCCATGGAAAAAATGATAGAGAAGAGTTGTATTCTCGAATGTGTTCACCAAAATTTTTAGCTCCTGAAGCTTGCTGCGTAAGAAGTTGTTGTAAAGACACAGGTGGCTCCCGCAAAGGTGGTCAAACTACTTTCACGTCGTGGCAGCATCTTGAGTACTTGCTGGATGTATTATGCTCAGCAGGCCAGTATGGCGCATGACAGTGTTTGCACTACTGGTTTGGACTCCCAATGTTGTACTCTTGTCGGGAAGACAGAAATTAGGTGAAGAAGTACCTCTGGTAACGGGAAGAGGATTGTGTGTATGTCTGCTAAGACTGCGTTTGTTTGGAAACGTTGCTTTGCAGATGTTGCACTGCAAGAGTTGTGAATGAATTTTGCTGCGTATAGTAAAAAATCCTGTGTAGTGAACTTCTTATTGCATTTTTGACACTCATATAGTTTTAGGGAACAATTATAATTCTTGTTTTTTTAGGGTTTAGTAAGAGGTTTGCGTTTGAGAGGTTTTGTTGCAGGAATCGCACTGGAAGAAGGTGCTACGGAGTAGGAGTCAGGTAATATGTCAGCTGTGTGAAGTTTTGTGTGTTTTTGAAGATAGTTCTGCATTGTGAAACGTTTAGTGCAAGTGTTACACTGAAACAATAAGTCGTGGCAGTGAATTTTATTTGTGTTTGGCAAGAGAGCTTCACGTTTAAAAAGCTTGGAGCTTGAATTTCATCCTCACCACCAAATGCTCCAGGTGTTGACATGTATTGATAGTACTCCTGATTTGTTGTGATAACTTGAGCTGCGGTGGAAAGAAGTACAGGAACAGCATCTCCAAATCTGCCCCAATGTGATGCAACGAAATCTACTGCCCTATGTCGTAGTGAGAGTGCACTGCCTTCATCAACCATTTGTTGTCAAGAAATAACCCACTGATATGAACAGGCAGAGAAAGTCTATCGTTCAATTCACAATTCATTTTATTAATTATTTTACCAACCAGTGATTCTTGTAGCAAATGTCTCTTTATTAAATAAAGAACTCCATTACTAACACACTATTAAGTATGCCATTTTCTAAACACATATCTACGTCACAAAATACACAGCATATAGCAAATGCTAAGAAAATAATAGCATCAAATTCGCTCATTAGGAAACAGACACAATTTTTAGTTATAAGCCCGCCAATGCGTGAACTTCCAATCTACTAAAGTTACTTGACAAAACATGAACTCAAGTAATGCACATTTAATAATCCCAATTTTTGCTACACCCCTCCCACATGATACTTCACTACACACTTGTTATTTCACGCCCATGAACTATATTAAATATTCTGATGTCTAATAAATATCCTCATGTCCCAACCACTTTGAAACCGAATATTTTTTACCTACTTAAATTGAGACAATTTCATTTTCCAAAAATATTACGCGCCTAACGCAGTTGCCTCATATAAAAAAAATTATATCATTTAGCATAGTTATCGGAAATATTTTGCATAGTATTGAACTCATTTTTGAACCTTACTTTGTTTCAAACATAAAGAATTATATATAATATACTCTCAATCCCAAATTCGCTGATTAGGAAGGAGCCGGAAATGGAAGCAGTAAATTATGAAGCAGACCACGAGTCATACCAGAAGCATAATATATATAAGAGATAATCATAAATAAAATTATGAAAGCAACCGAACCTTGCAATCAGCAGTAATTTCAAGCAAAATTTTGTATTTTCCTGACTTACTTTGTGTATCATGTGATCTAGCCCTGACCTTTGAAAAAAAATAAGCATTTTGATTTGTTCCTGGATCAGAATTCTGTTTTAATAACTACTTCGAATCGCTTCATCAAACAAATCACTGCAATATCAACTCAAAAAATGTGTACATGCACATTCTCATTTATTAACGCACATCATACTCATAAAGAAATTTTAAGTACATGTTATTATATTTCCTCAATATTGGTTTTCGTTTATCTCAATCATTGGTTATCTCGATGCTTTTTGGCAAACCCCTAGGCCAGCAACATAACTCGGTTCAACTGTATGGCAAATATTTCAACCCTAAACTGTTTCATTTTTTAAGACATCATAAAAATAATTTCTTAAGCTTTGGCGGGCCATTTAAATCAGCTGGCAGGTTGGACAGCACTGAGCTAAGGTGTTGGAAGGTGATTCTGTAGTCTTTAGACCATTGAATGGAGTCAGATGGCTTTCGCAGCAATGTGCTTTACTAGCATTGCTAAGAAACATACAAGAGTTGACTGAATGCATCAAGGAGCAGGTGCACCTATCTAAAGTACTGTTTGAAGAAGCTAAAGGACCTGCAGTTTGATCATTGCTTTGATGAAGTTGTTAGTCAACTTGCTGAATTATGCAAGCTGCTACAAAGAAAAAAAATCTTAAGACCATTAAGGCATACCAGTTTGTAAATGTTAGAATCACTACGCTTCGTGCCCAGTGCCTTGGTGAAAATGTGCAGTGGACCGAAGAGGTTCCTGAATTGCTTGCATGTGACGAGAATATATATTATTGAATGTTTATATTTGCACCTGGACTTTTTTTTCCCTGAAAGCGAGTTGATGCAATGGCGCATATTTGAGATATCAGCGTTAGTCAACACTTAAGATTTTACTTTTGTCAAGCACCAGTTTTTCTAGTATGCAGCATTCGTGGAACAATATGACATTCTGACAAAAGTTAAGGATCAGTATCGTAACTTAATATTTGTGCTTGAAGAAAAAAATGATGGGTAAATTTGTAATGAATTAGGAACAATTCAAAAACATTGCCATTCTGTTTAATATTTGTGATACATTTCTTGCATCAGGGCCCATTAAGAATGAGGATTAAGCCTAATGAGCATAAAAAAAAATACAATCTAGAAATAGGCTGGAAGAGTTACATTTTGACATGGTTATGAGGATTCAATAATATCTGAATAATGGACAAAGATCAACCTTGACGATGCATTCTTGTTGAAAGACAGAGGACTAAAATGAGACTTGGCTAGTGGCCATTAGAAGTCGGTGTGTTGATATTTAATTGTGTGACCCAATGAAGGGATAAATAATAGAAATAAATATAGCTTTGATTGAACTATTGAGACATTTCTGTTTATAATTATTTAATTATAGTTCCTTTATATAATTTCATAAAAGTTTTTGCACTTTATTTATGTAATTTCTGTGTGTGATTGTGGGCTGTAAACTTTTGAAAAAAAAAATTTATGCTGTAAAACTTTGCAAACCACTGTGTGATTTTGCACACGAATCATCAAACCTGAGAGGGAAAATTGCTTTTAAGTAGCTGTAATAATATATTATGACACAGATTGTGCATGCAGTTCCTAATAAATTATCCTTAAATGCTGTTCCTGACCGAGACTTGGTTGAGGTCAACAGGGGATGATGCCAAGTGTGCTGACCTCACGCCACCGGGTTTCGATATTAAGTCCTTTCCGCATGCTACGCGAGGTGGCGGCCTCGCTGTCATTTATCGCAGCCACCTCCCAGTGACTTTCACCTCCACTTTCCCATTCCAGCACACCTCTATAGAACTTGTTCAGTTCACCCTCTATAGAACTTGTTCAGTTCACCCTCAACACGACCCCCAGTGTCCACATTTTCTGCTTGTACCGCACTCCCCCCAGTAAGAAGAACAAGCTCCTAAACTCCACCTTCCTCTCTAAGCTCCCTGACCTACTTGACTACTGCAACCTGCTCCGTGGAATGAGTGTAATCATGGGTGACCTTAACGTTCACTATGACGTCCCTACTGATCACCTTACTAGCAAGGTACTTGACATCCTCACAAGGTTTAGCCTTGTCCAGGGCATTAAGCAGCCCACCTACTCTTGCAGTGGCCACATCATCGACTGGGTGGTGTACCGTGATGACGACCACTTAGTGGACAGCTGTACTGTGAGTCATATGCTCTCCTCTGACCATGCAGCTGTGCTCACTACACTCAACGTAGTTCCCCCAAAGAACCTACCTGTCTACAGGATTGTGCGTGACATAAATGCTATAGACAGAGCAGCCTTCAAAGCCGGCATTAAGTCAATGCTTCAAGGGCTAGGTGCTGAGCTCAGCTCTCAGTATCTGGACGATGGCCTCCGAGCACTCTTGGACGAGCACGCCCCTCCCATGGCGCGACGTGTCCCAAATGGTCGCTCGTCGCCATGGTATGCAGGCGTTAGTGACCAACTCTGTCTTGCAAAACTCGCGCGAAGACGCGCTGAAAGGCGCTGGGTAAAGACTGGACTGAGTGTCGACAGACAGATCTTTTGGACAGCGAAGGAGGCGGTGGCAGAGATTGTACAGATGGCAAAGGATGACTACTGGAGCTCAAAGGTCAAATCATGTGCATCAACCAAGGCGCTGTTCAGCGCTAGTCACCGTCTTCTTGGCAACAGCAAGAATTTCACCCTCCCTACCGACATTGCACCAGAGCAATTCCCTGATGCCTTTGCGGACTTTTTCATCACCAGGGTACAAACGATCAGGGAGGAGCTAGACAGTGCGACCCTTACACCTTCCTCACCGTTCTTGGAGGACGTTAGTCAGACAGAATCATTTGATAGATTCCTGCCTGTGACTGAGGATGAGGTGAGGCGAGTCATCATCAGGTCTGCTCCCAAGTCTTGTGCCCTCGATCAGATCCCCGTCCCACTGCTTGTAGAATGCCTTGACGTCCTCCTCCCAGCACTCACCTCCATCATAAATTCTTCGATTCTCTCTGGCATCTTCCCTCCCATTTTTAAACCGTCGATAGTCCTGCCACTCCTAAAGAAACCCTCACTTGATCCAAACACACTCAAGAATTACCGCCCCGTCAGCAACCTCTCCTTTCTCTCAAAAATCATAGAAAAACTCATACTCTCTCAGCTCTCTGACTATCTTCACTCTTGCAATCTCTATCCTTCCTCCCAGTCCGCCTACCGACTTGGTCATAGCACAGAAACAGCACTGGTCCGAGTCATGAGCGACCTCCTGCGCGCGATGGACGATGGCAAACTCTCTATTCTCACTCTGTTAGATCTCTCTGCTGCATTTGATACCATTGACCACAAGATTCTTCTTGACCGCCTTCATCTTTCTTTCGGACTTACTGGCTCAGCTTTAAACTGGTTTCAATCATATCTTTCTGACAGAACTCAAACAGTCTCTATTTCCAACAGCTCTTCCAAACCTTCAGCCCTGTCTATTGGAGTTCCTCAGGATCGGTCCTTGGGCCGGTACTTTTCATCCTCTACACTAAATCTCTATCATCTCTCATTAGCCACCACTCAGTTTCCAGTCAATCCTTTGCTGATGACACTCAAATCAGTGACTCTTGCTTTCCTGATCAACTTGATGCCACCATCCTTCGCATACAGGAGTGCGTGGACGACGTAAAGCGCTGGATGACTTGCAACAAACTGAAGCTAAATGATGATAAAACGGAAATCCTTCTCATCCACTCTCAAAACAAACCTCTCCCTCCATCCGCTCCTTCTTCTATATCTATTGGCAACTCTGACATCACACTCTCTTCCTCTGCCAGAAACCTTGGATTCACGCTTACAGACACACTCTCCATGGACAAACATGTCACGAATATATGTAGATCAGCATATAACGAAATTAGAAAAATCAGTACCATTAGACACCTCCTCTCCTTTGATGCCACAAAAACTCTCGTCTCTTCACTCATTCTTTCAAAATTTGACTACTGTAACACTCTTCTCACAGGCATTCCTCAACACCACATAGACAAACTTCAGAAGGCACAGAACTCAGCTTGCAGACTCATTTTTAAATCAAAGAAACATGACCACATTCAACCACACATGCGGCAACTCCACTGGCTTCCAATATCCTCTCGCTTCAAGTACAAGTCTGCCAATCTATGCTTCAACTCGTTCACTGACCCTCACTTTCCTGTCTATCTCTCTGAACTGTTACTTCCTTACATCCCCACTAGACAACTACGCTCTTCCATTAATAATAGAACCCTCTCAATCCCAAGAACCAAAACTAAGACCATCGGTGAACGCTCCTTCTACTTCTATGGGCCCACGTTCTGGAACCAGCTCCCCTTCCATATCCGTCATTGTGAAACCTCGTCCACTTTTAAAAAGTCCCTTAAAACCCATCTGTTTAGGTCCGCCTATGACCTGTGATGCACCCTCCTCGCCCTGCCTCATTTTCTGTTCCTGTAGTATAGGCCAAAACGTGCCAAAGTGTCCTCGTTTTATAGCCATTTTAATTGTTTCTATAGTATAGTAGTTACTATCCTAGTGTCTTATTTTTATTTTACTTAGTTTACATGTTTTTAATAATTGTAAAGCGCTTAGAGCTTTAAGGTAAGCGCTATATAAAAAATGCCTAAATAAATCAATAAATCTCAAAGAATTTTAAAAGAAAAAAAAAAATTTTTAGAATAATTTTAGAGCAATTTTTTACTACATAAGATGTGGTCAAACATAGACTAAGTACACAACTGATGTTAAAAATTTGCACAAATATAGAGAAAAGTATAAATAGATTACTTCACTAACCGGTTAAAGATGTATTTGGTGTATTCTGCCTTGAAGAATTGGGTAAATAAGCAGGAGATGGTTGTGACAGAGTTGTTGATGAAACACTCAAAATTGTAATAGGCATTTTCTGAGAATAATAAAAACAATTAAATTTAGCAAAACATTTTTTTTTGTAGCATAAGCATGAACAACATCCTCATAAAAGAGTAATGTGGAGGTTTATTAAGTTTTTAAATACCCATTAGTAACAAAAATTTACATTCACTTGTACCCCATGTCAATGCAAATGTCCATTTCATTTTTTACCAGATGCCTCTAAGAACTTTCTCCCCTTTTCAAAAATATAGATATTTAATAAGTGGCTAATGTGGGGGTTATGAAAATTATTTTAATAGCTTTTGATCAAATAAAGTTTCAAAATACATGAATGTGTCCCAATTTCCAGGAGCAAATAACCACAATTGCTCCTAAATATGTAAAGTTAAGACAACATTTAAGTCCTATTCACAATTTGATTAACTCTTTACAAAAAATTATAGCAAGCCAATTTTAGGGTGTAAAGAAACACTATCAAATATTAATAGTTCCATAGTAAAAGCCCATAATAAACTAAAAATAACTTTTGGATTATAAAAAAGCATTGCCTTTATAACTGCTAATCGCAGTTATGTTGAATTATAAGCATACCGAAGTTGCTGGGGCTATCAGTCCAGCAGCATAATCTGGAGTGTAAGATGGCGCTACAGAGGATGAAGTTGAGACTGTTAAGGATGGGCTGACACCTGATGAAACAAATGCGGCCTCCTTCTCCTTTTTTTGAGCTTCCTGTGCCATATCTATATTTTAAAATGTAAAAATGTTTATAAAAATACTAAATGTTCAATGAAAAATGCAGATATCTGGAAAGACAATCATTATAAAAAAAAAGAAAAAAGTTTATTATGAGCTCCTGGCCATTGGAAGAGGACAGATATTTACAAAAACATACAATATTATCTAGACCAGGGGGTCACCAAACTATGGCCGGCCGGGTCCGCCGACAGTACTTGAATTTGCTTGATAAAATGCATGGAACATGTGAAGGTGATAAAATTTAAATATTATGTTTAGAATTAAGTACTCCAGTAAAAAAAATTTTAATTTATTAACATTTACAGTTACATAGAGCAAACTTCAAATAAAAAAATGAAACAAGAATCTAGCTTCAGAAATTTTTGAGCTATGAATTTAAAAGTGTGAGTTTATTTGGCATTTTTCACTAAGGAATGCCCCTTCACATTTTGTGACCCCATTCCGTTGATTGCATCATGTGCAATAACTCTTGTTTAAATGATAAATTTATATAACTTTTATTTCATTAATGCTAATCATTAAAAGTTCTATTTATAAAATTAATTTCAACAATATTCTGCAATTTTAAATAAATTATAGCTTATCTAGCCATGTAAGATGTATTATTACATTAAATACAATATGGATGTTTTGTTTACTAAGTCTAGCATTCATTTCAAATATATTTTTTTTTCCTTCTACGACCGATGATTTAATAGTACTTTCATACAACACTTACATTCTCTTATGAATGAAACTATGAGAATAGCATAGAATGTAAGTGACTGTAAATGGTTGCCCATGACAATGTTTTGCACACTGCAAATTATGACAATTTATAATATGGACCCTACCGGTTTTTAAACCTCAAATTAAAATATTCTTGTTTAATTACTTCTAAGTTATAAAATATTTTGATGTAAATAGGGGTAATAATTAAATATTTCTTAAGTATCAGCATCTTCCACCATTAAAAAGGGGACGTGGTGGAAATGTGCAGAATGATTATGCGGCCAGCGCTTGTCATTTTGTCAGTTATCCGCCACACTGTGAAAAAAGTTTGGTGACCTCTGATCAAAACAAAAAGGAAAATTTAAAGTGATTCCATCATAAATTCGTTTATTTTTTTATTATGGATGTTAATTTTCTTCTGTCATTTTGCTAATTGTGACCTGTTATCTTTATATAACCATTAATTTTGCTTTTGCTGACCACTAGTTTGATTTTTCAAAATAAAAGTTCGCATATTATATTGGGAAATACAACACTATATGACATTTTTTTCAAACTTTAAGTTAACCCAGGCAATTTTTCAAAGAAAAAAGACTAACATTTTTTTCCAATTAATTACAATAATTTCCAAAAATTACCTAATTGTATTTCTTCTTTTCTTTTATTCAAAAATGTACCAGGAGTGTAAATTATAAAAAATAGCTTGCTCTTAAGATTAAAATTTACTGACTTGACAAAAAATATCTGTAAAATTAAGGATTTTCAATTTAAAAAATTTTAATAAAAAAAACAAACCTGCAATTTTTTTCCGTCTTTTTGCTTCTTTTGCTCCTACTGGCATTTCTTCTATTTCGAGTAACTGAATTAAAACAAAAATTAGCAAAATATAGCAATTAATTTAGGATATCACATGGAAGACCAAAATATTAGTAACAGATAACTAAAAAAATGTGGTAGATTTATAGGCTGTTGGCAGAAATACTACTTTGGCACAATATTACCTAAAAGGTTACATCTCTTTTAGATGGTCTGCATTTCAATTATTAAAGCGTGAAAAAAATTAAATAATGTATAATAAGCCTGTCTTTGACAAAATATGCTACTCAGATTTCCAATTTTACAAACAACTGGCTCTAAACCACCCCATCAAGAGCTGCTAAGTCAGATTCATGAATTTTACTCTCCCCATCCAATCAAAATATCCAAATTTGAAGTGATCCTCAGCCCCTAAGAACTTAACATGCTTAACACCATCTATTACTTTAGTAGAAAATAAAATTACTTTAATTTTGCTGTCTTTCTTAGAAGAGCTTGATCTGGGCGTAATTGGTAATGGCGTAACAGGTGATCGAGTTGCAGATGTATTAAGACGTAAGGAATTAGTAGGAGACCGGAAATCTGAATTGTTTACGAGTGCTCGACTTGGAGTGGTTTTCAGTGGTGCTAAAATTTTCATGAAAGTTTTAAGACATATTTCAGTAAACAAATGCATAAACATTCTATCAATATTACTTAATTTGATTAAAATAATTACTGTTATTAAATTTCAATAGATTCATAAAGCAGATGTTTAAAAATCTTACATCAAATCTGTCTAAAGTTTTAGTGTAGTTTTTTTTAAAGAATAATTTACCTTAGAACACATTGCATGAAAGTCTAAAGTGCTAAATTTATTTAACATTTTAATATTCTATATTCTTGTACGACTCAGTTAACTAATTTGTTTTAGTATCTAGATTTGCTTCTCCTATCCATCTTGAGCTTAAAAAAATTGATTTACTATCTTATTTGTTTAAGCCATGATACTCTCAAACTGAAGCAGGGTAACTAATACAAATATTTCATAGAAATAAAAGTATACATATATTTACTATAAATATTGTTCAGATTTACCAAAAGGAGTGATATATGTGATGTTAAACTAAATTACAGACAAAAACATTATTCTTCTTCTTCTATATTTTAAGGGCCCACGATCAATGTATTGATAATTTTGGCTCCTATGCATGTAGATGGGATTTGCAATGTTTCTGTTCCTGGTGTTGATGAGGAAATTTCACTGATTTCCAGTGCCACTTTGTGAGGGAATCATGCACTAGGGGTTTGAAGGCTTGAGGCAATAGACACATTTGTGTCTAGTGTTGTCACCACAACCGTTCCTTTTGAAAGATTGTTCCAGTCCCTGATTGTCTTAGGCAGGAATGAGCAGCTCCTATACTGGCTTGTTGCTGGTATGAGCCTGAATTGCCTGTCATGGCCTCTTCACTGTCTATGGGGGAGAGGGACGAGTTTCTGTTTAATACTGGAACAGTGGACCAGCCCATTATTTATTTTGTACATCATGGAGAGCCTGGATTGTCGTCGTCGTTCCTCCAATGGTGACCAGCCTAGTGTTTCAAGCATGCTGCCAACACTAGAGGTATTCCTGTAGCGGTTTAGGACAAAGCGTGCTGCTCGTCGCTGGACCGCCTCCAACCTGTCAATGCTCTTCTGGTTAAATGGGTCCCAGACTGAAGATGCATAATCTAAAATCGGACGGACAAAGGCTTTATATGCTCTTTCTTTCATACAGGAGTTGCCAATCTTTAGATTTCGCTTTAAGAACCCTAGGGTCTTGTTTGCTTGGTTACATACTTAGTTAATATGCTCGTCCCAGCGGACCTCTCTTTGAATGGTAACACCCAGGTACTTTACGGAGGAAACTTGCTCAAGTATATGGCCGTGCAGTTTGTATTGGTAGTGTAGAGGAGTACAACTTCTAGAGACTGATAGTGTCTGGCACTTGGCAGGGTGAAATTCCATGTCCCAGCTCATCTCCCACTAAGCTAACAGATTGAGATCCTGTTGTAACTGGTCCTGGTCAGATCTGCTGGCGATCGTCCTATACACTGCTGTGTCATCTGCGAACAGTCTTGCCTGTGATATCAGTTTCTCGGGTAGGTCATTAATGTATGCTAGGAACAAACAGGGGCCCAGGACTGATCCCTGGGGGACCCCTGACTTCACATCGACAAAGGAGGAGCTTGTACCGTCCCTCACTACTGCTTGGCATCGGTGGCTGAGGAAGCTAGAGATCCATGTTTTACTGGTGCCTTGGATCCCATATCTCTGGAGTTTGTGTAGAAGCAAACTATGATTCACACGATCTAAAACCCACTACTCACAATCTGCTGACAAGTGACCACGAAGTCTATTTAGTGAATGTTAACCACAATTGTAGGAGTGGTACTTAGGGTTCAATGGCCCTTAGTAGCCCTTAATTACTATTTTTAGACTTAAAATCACTCATGGTAATTGTCCTTTCCTTCAAAAACCAATGGTCCCCTTGAAAAGACCAATAGACATTAAGTTTCAATTTGATCAGTGTTAATTTGTTTATAATAAGATCTTCTAAATATTTTTGCAAAGTTTTAATAGAAATCAGGCAAAAAATTTAAAATAAAATAAACTTTTGTAAAAAAAAAATATATTTAGTCTATATATAACTAAAAATTGTGTACAAATAAAAAAATGCAAAAACTAAGTAAAAAAAGCAAAACTTTTTAATATGGCAAACATCGAAATTAATTAATTTGAAACTTATAATACTTACTAATGTCCATTGTTTTAGCAAAACTCCTAGATTTGATAGGAACAGAAGTAGATGCATGATTTCGCTTATTTGAAACACTTTCAGATGCTTTAAAAGAATAAATAAACAAAAGGAAAGAGTATTTAATTAAGAATTATGAAATCAGAAAAAAATTGCTTCCTCCTACGATTACCTTACAAGACATTTAAAATTAAAGATTGTCAATATTTCATTAAATTTTAGTGCAATTCTTAAATGGTATAAGGTATGTATTATTTTCTTTAAAAAAAAATTAAAAATATCAATGGTGCAAAATATCCCCAAGCAAGCAAAGGTGATTAGGGAATTTAACTCATGGATCTGAACAAATGACTGGGTGTAATATATGTGTTTCAGTGAATTTTAATAACATTTTTGCAATTCATAAAAATCACAATAGATATTTCATTTTAAAAGTGACCTTAAACTCTATTAGAATACCGGTACTCTAAAACTTTATTATAGAGACTGACCAAGAGATGGATCACCCTATAGCAATTTTTATGCTTAGAAAATAATTTAACAATAACAATTGAAGAGTAGGGCATTTCAAGCTACTGAGGTCTTGGAAAGTCAGGAAAAAAGTGTAATGTTATTTTGTATCAACTAGGCTTTCTTCTTTCCCAAGGTTTTGCTTATCCCAGGAAAACAGGAAAAATGTGACAATCATCCCGGGATTTCTCAGGATGAAATATGTTATATAAAACAATATAAAATAAATTAAATAAACAATGAAAGAGTGGCTTTTGAAAATTGCTAAAATTGTATAGTGAATAAAATGCAATATTAAGGTTAGCTGAGAAAGGTTGATCAATTGTTTCTAGTTGCTTCATGTTACCCAGCTAAGCCCTAGTACCGGTAATAGATAAATAGCTTACAGAAGTAGTAAATTCTAAAGTTTTTTTTTAGTAGGTGTCTTAAAGTTTAAGTTACAATTCACTGGAAATACCCTATTAGAAAGCCTTATTATTTAAATGTAATGAGCACATGGTTCACTTTACTTCTATATAAATGTGGTTGCGACTTGAAAAAGTTTGAGAACCTGTGTACTACAGCTAATGAGCTTAATAATTCAGCACTGTTAACTAGATTTTGCAGGTCCTGGTTTACAGTGACAGATAGTGATATTTTTTTTTACTTGCTGATATTTTTTAAAAAAACAGAAATTGTATTTTTAAAGTTCCAACCTGGGATGGATTTCCCAAGAGTTTTTTTTTATACAGCAAAAATCTGACTGGATCCCACTTGAAAAACTCTAGTATAACAAACAATCTAATTTGCATCTAACATATTGAGCAGTTTCAGTAGGGAAAATAATGTGCACATTACCGATTAATCAACAAGATGACAGATTACTTTTTTTCTCATTAATTACACACATCTGTGTGAAGTTTACACAATCATCAGAAACAAAAATTACACATTTGAAAAAGTGTGAATTCTGCATTTGATACAGGTACTTACATTTCTGAATTATTTCAGCTCTTAAGGCTGCAGACTTTGGTTTCCTTTTAACAGTAAAGTGCTTAGAGGCTTCTGGTATATGTCCTGCAGCCGCAGTCAAAGCAGCTTTATTTAAGTACTGACACTCAAGAGGCATCATACTTACTGTTGAATTATGAGCTGTGAGCATTTCAAAAGGAAATATTAAAAGAGCACCTGGAAACTCCAAATAAATGTTATAATTAATAATGATGCAGTCAATTTATATGTTTGTAATTGTAGTATCACTTTTTCATTAAGAAAAGTCATCTCAGGGAATGGAAGATATTTAAATTTAAGTCATTCTAATTCATGGACATCCAAAGTACTAAAAAAATTTAGTATCAAAATGTATATTAAAAGAACATTGACGAAATTATTATAAAAAAGTTTTAAGTGAATTCAGTTAATTTTTTTGTTAAACCAAAGTGTATTTGTATTTTTTTAAACTAGTACTTTAAGCAAGGACTAGAACAAAGGTACAAATTTCATTTTCTTTTTGCTCCTGGGGCCAAGCAGAGTCCCCTAAAACTATCTTTATATAAACCTTCTAACACTTACCTAACAGTTTTATTTCATCTAAGCAAAGTAACATATTAGAATCAGATCTGTTTTCTTGTTCAACCAAAAGCAGAGCACCAGTTGATGGAAAATCCCTCATTATCTCACCAATAGTTGCAACCCATGGGTCAGGATCATTGATTCCTAATGAGATAATCTCCTCAAGATCATTTTGCCACTGTAATAAAGTTGTTTTTTTTTAAATGGATAACATTAACTGGACTTTAATTTTAATGCTCAAATGTAACTCTACCATGGTTTGTAACACTTGGCATTTCAGGGTATCTGGGTCAGCACTTGGGACAGCCTTAGAAATAGCCAAAGATAAACCTTGGAAGAGTTGGTACATCATATTAAGCTATTTAAGTCTTTACATCTCAGGAAAAAAGTGTCAGTTTATATTGATTTCTGTGTCAATGATGACCTCACAGAAAAAAAATACACAGTGATGGAGAATGGACAGGAGGCGGGTCTATGAAAGCCCACTTAAATTTATTAGGTCCACATTTGCTAAAATCCTATAAAAGTGTACATATTCTATTAAAACTATAGATGTAAATCTAACATCTTGACATTTCTTTGCTAAGCCAATTAATCAGTCAAGAAAAGATGATTAGGTATCAATTAATCTGTAAATTGGCAGTTTATTTTCTGACTGATCTGTGAAACTCTTTTTGGAATAGTTCAGTCTTCTTTAACAAATACCAGAAGTTATTTAATTTAAAAAAATGTATCATTACAAAGTTAATAGTAACAGTAAACTATGTAAGAGATATGCAACAGTTTAAAGTTTCTAGTAGACACAGTATTACTGAAATTTTTCAGTGGCACAGAATAAAGCCAAATCCATAAAGCATGTATACTATAGCAATATTAAAACAAGTGACTCAGCTGGATGCATTAATCCCTTGGTATAATTTGAGTTGCACAGGGCACAATTTATAATAATTTTTTGAGAATGCATAATAACTTTCACACTTATTTATTTACTTTTAAAGACCACATGCATGAATTTTTATAAATCAAGAGGGTGTGTGGCACTGCAAAAAAGGTTAAGAACCACTGTATACTGAAATATAAATATTGTATTAGTCTAACCTTGTTATTACAAATAGTTGGAAAATGAAATTTGGTAGGTTTAAATTCACCACCCCAGAGGCCATAAAGACATCTCTCCCAACCCCATTTTAAACCCCTTAAAAGAATTGTTCATAATAGTAGTTTTGCATAATTCTTTAAGAAAATTAAACAATCACAAAATGAAAAAACACATATTTCAACATTTTACCACATGTCCACAACTATATATATATATATATATGTAAAAGTGAATGTTTGTTCCATATACCTTTTTACATGGATTGACGGATCTTGACCAAACTTGGCACATATATCCATCATTACCCAGAAGGAACTCTTAAGGGGTTATGAACTTTTTATGATATTCCGTTTGGGGCCAGAGGCCCCGAATTCGTTTTTTTCCTAATATGAGCTATATAAATAAATTTAACAACAAATATTCCTACATTAATATATGGATCTTGACCAAACTTAGTACACATACACTTTAATATCCATACTAAAAAAGCGAAGAGTATTGAACTCATAATATCCATTCCTCTGGGGTGGGGGCATCGATTCATTTTTCTTATATAAGCTTTATAAATATAAATAGGCTTAGTACTCCCACATGAGTTGATGGATCTTGACCAAACTTAGTACACATATACTTGATTATCCATATTCAAATACCGAAGGGTACTAAACTCATAATATCCATCCATCAATTTTCCTTATATAAGCTATATAAATATCAATAGGCTTAGACAACACTAGTTTCTATTTGAATTGATGGATACAAGCCTAGCGTGGTAGCAATACCCTTCATTGTCTGTATTAAAATATATCGGTGGATTTAAAAATAATAATATCCATTCTAGAATTTTCCAAAAAGTTCGATAATTTTAAAAAGCTCTATATATGGCATTTTTAAGTAGATTTTAATGGGACCAATTTTAAATTTTCACTCTATTTTTTATCCATCTGATATTTGTAGGGCCCCCTATCTCAGGCATAACTAAATAGGTAAAGTTATGGAATGGGCCCCTAGGGGCACCTTGATTAACTTAAAAGAAAAAGGATTATAATATTGGTACTTGTTGAAGATTTTTATCGTATTTAAAAAAATAATTAGAAAATTAGTTTTTACACGTTTTGAGCAGGCTATTAAATTTAATCTAGAATATTCCAGAAAAGTCTAGATTGCTACAAGGAGATATATAGTGGTATCTAAGGGATTATTGAAATGTTAGTTAGTTCTATTCATTTCTATACTGCCCCGGAGTTTACTGTTCTCTCAGTACCACTGAAGAATTTTTTGATACAGGATCCCAAATGGGTCGGGATCCCATCATAATCTTTATTTCAACGGGATCAGGATCCCACCAGAAAACGGGATCCTACCGGGATCGGGATCCTTACATTGAATGGACCCACCATGATCAGGATCACACCGGTAACGGGACTTCGTCGAGATCGGTGTCAGAATGAGATCGGGGTCCCAATGGGAACGGGGGTCAAACCAGGATGGGGTCCTAATGTAATCCCGGGCCATGCCGGGTATATAGGCTAGTACATGATAATATTAGAAACTAACTTTCAAATGTTCTTAATGCGTTGAGAAATTATATCAATTTTTCAATGTGTGGTTTTAAGCCACCTTATAGGACTCTTAAATCGACTGGTTCAGTAATCTGGTAGCTATTTGCTTGGAGGAAAGTTTTAGCCCAATTTCGACCATGACCCCCTTTTAATAGCAAAGGATGCTGATATTTAAGAAATATTCAATTATGACCACTATTTACATCAAAATATTTGATAACTTGTGGCTTAGAGTGAACTTAGAAGTAATTTAAACAAGAATATTTTAATCTGAAGTTTAAAAAGGTCGTCGAGTCCATGTTATTAATTATCATAATTTGCCATGTGCCAAACGTTGTCATGAGCAACCAGTCATAGTCACTTGCATGTGCTATACTACCTACTACAATAATATTATTCTCATAGTTTCATTCATAAGAGAAGATATGGGCAGTTAGCAAACACTATTAAATCATTGGTCATAGAAAGCTTTGATTAATTTGGAATGTGCAAAAGTTGAAAGTTAAAAATAAGTAGTCCAAAACCAGCATTATTTTTAGGGTATGTTTTATCTTACAATGCGTTATATAGTACTCAAATTTTCAAATACATATGATATACACAAAGAGCATATCATTGGAAATAGTTGACTTTAAGCTCACTAATGACACCAAGATAATCTTTCTGTCATTTTAGGAGAAAAATTATGAATTTTTTAGTGATTTATTTTTCCCCACTATTAGGCTTTGCATTTCTTTTCAAAAACTGATTGAATTATTATTCTTTTTGTACTATTTTGCAAGTATCTTTTTGGCTTTTAAAGTTAGAGCGCTCAAATTTGGAGGAGACATTTACAATACACTGTTCAACAAAATAAAACACATTGAATTGTGAATTAATTTATTATATTTCATAAAATGTGATAATTTAAGCATAAAGTGTCGTTAACGACAATTGTTGAGAAAAAAATTTTTTAAAGGACAAAACTATTAAACCAAAAAAGCTATTGCCATACATTTGCAGTACAAGCAGATGATGTCCAACTCAAAGTAAGGCAATTTGGAAAATATATAAAAGGCAGTTCAGAAATGTATGCAATTTTTTTTTAATATTCAATGAAAACCGACCACTTCTGAGACATTCTTCTTACATTTAAGTAATAACTTTTAAGTTAATCCTAAAGCTGTCAAAAAGATTTTTCTATAGCAAAAGTCTTCAAATTTTTCATGACGGGCCGGATAACGCAAAAAATGAGGCCTGCGGGCCGGATAATCATTCTGTTCAATACTTGAAAGCCTGAACGAAAGCTATGGGAAAAAAGATGAAAAACTAAGTTTAGTATTCCATGTTAATAATGGATGAGTGGTGTGCAATGCGATTATGAGTTGAAATGCCCCCGTATTTTTCTAACACTCCCCTTTCTTTCACCAATTTACAGTTTGTGTTAGTTATCAGACTTAAATATATAAGCGGGAATAGGCTTAATGGATATTGATTTTTACATTATTTTTTTAAACCAGCTTTTCCTTAAAAAACAAACTCAAGCTATTTGGTAGGTTTTTTAAATGATATCATTTCTAATTAAATTCATTTGAATACATCTTGTTTTATGCTGATCTGACTTGGAGTTTGAATCACGATAAATTTCACCAGCAACTTAATTTTTTTACCAGTCACAGACTGTACATCCACTCAAATTTAAAATAATATCTATTGCAAATTCACGTCTGCAAAACAAAGTGACAGCAGATTGCAATATAAATGTCAATCATCTACTTTTAGTAGTTAACTCTTTTGACGCCACTTTAACTCGATCCCACTAGACACTGGATGTGATTATTTCATATTGTATTTTTAATGAATACAATAAATAAACATATGGTATATATAATGAATACAATTTTATTTACTTACTATTAAAATACTGTAATGTACCATTTTGAGACAGTATTTTACGATTTTAGGAGTTCAAGGGTAAATATACTTTTAATCAAGCAAATTCAAAAACCGTCGGCGGGCCGTATGAACTGGCCTCGCGGGCCGGATCCGTCCCACGGGCCATAGTTTGGAGATCCCGTTTTATAGGGTTAAGCCATTTTTAGCATTTTCATATGCTTGTCAAAAATGACAAAAATCCCAAACTAGATGAATTCAGAGACCCTTACAAGTATACATTTTCTGAAAGTACATTGGACAAGGTATCTTATGGTGTGAAAAGAAATTGTTTTTACATTAAGTATGTTGATATTAACCTTGATCTTTACAGAGTGAGTAAAATTTTAGTACTCAATTTCTGACACACACAAAAAGCATATCATTGGAAAGAGATGACCACCCTAAATATTCCATAATTTTTTTCAAATTATCAAAAAATCAAGTTTTTGAGATACCAGAAGCAACATTCTTTCAGAAAACTTTTTTCACTCCCATCCTTCAAATTTCTGTCACATAAAATACAAGGGGGAAGGCAAGAAATGAGTCAAAAATTCCTTTTCAATTGAAGTTATTATATCCATTTTTGATCAATAAATATTACTGAAAACACACAAACATAAATATTTTTGGGGTAAGTCTTTGGGATCCAATATGAGTCTTATTTCTGTTCGATATCCACCCTTTCCCAAAATCAATTTGTCTGTAACAATATGACTAAACTTAGTGATAAAAGTTTCAACATCTGACAGTTATGTCGCAATCATCGCTAGAGCTAATACTGTCACTAGCACATAAAATATCTCTGAAATCATTGCCTTCATTATAAAATATTCAAATAATTCCAGTAAAGAATAACTGAGTAGATTTTGCAGCCCTCAGAAATTATGGCAGTCAAAAAATTTGAGAAAATTTCATACCTGATTAATCACAAAAAAATCCCCTGATAAAAGCATATAAACACACAGATAGAAATGGAAAGAGGAGGCAAACACATTTCTATAAGGAATGATTTCCCCTTAAATAAGATATATTAAATCAGGCCTGCAAAACTCAAAATGTAAGGCGGGCCGTAATACTTTATGAAATACTTGTGCGGGCCAAAAGAAAATAGGACATGGAGGAAAGCTATTAAGAAAATAATAATAATAAAGAATATTTAATTACTTAGGAATTAAATATAATGTAGTTTGTCAGCATAATTTATATGCTACATTGCATTTTTTTCCGTAACAAGTTTGTCGTATTCAGGAGATAAAATGGTAGTGGATGTTCTCAAGATTTCTTCCAAATGATCATCACTCAAACATGAGTGTTGCTTGCATTTCTTAATGTTCATTTTTGAAAATGTCTGTTCATATATATAAGTGGTTCCATATAAACACAAAATTTTTAGTGTAACTTCACAAAGATTTTTGTATTTTATTTTTAATTTATGATAAACAAAATTCTTCACGGGCAACAAAGTGGGTGCTGGCGGGCCCCTGCAGGCTGTTTGTTGTGCAGGCTTGTATTAAATCATTTGCATTTTTTATGACGATTTTTCTAGTGGCCGATTATATGATCCCTGACACCACAGAAAGGGATATAACGGCCAATGATCGCCCATACGACAGATATAGGGTTAATAAAGCTACTGCAATGAAGTTTTCATTACAAACAGATAGTGACAATCCAAAGGTAATAAAATATTCAAATATTACAAAAGGAATTTAAAAAATTCTAAATAAAAATTTTAAATGTTATGTAATGAAAACATTTATGTATATTTTAAACATAAATTTTAAACTAATAATGCTTTAAATGAAATTTTCATTACTAATAGACAGTGACAATCTAAAATCAACTGAGTTTTCAAATACAACAGACATCATTCAAAACATTTTATATCAAAGTTATGTAATGAATTGAAACTTCATCTCTGCTGACATTATTGTACAAAGCTATCCACAGCAACAGATGGTGTCCTTGTCCAGCTGACGGTAAAAGAAATGTTTTCTTAACATGCCCTAACAAATTTTCCTCCTCCTCCCCATCAACAGGGATGGATACCAACGGGTAATGCTGAAAAACAAAAAGAAAAAAGATTGTTTGCATTTATTTTATAGTTTTAAAACTATTTATTTCATTAATTTAATGGTTTTATTTTTACAGACTTATCGATACACCCTAAAAACTAGTAGTTTTAGTTAATAATAGCTAACAAATACTCCACTTCACTACATATACAGCTTATTAATCTTGCCTTAAACACTTATGCTAAGTTTAAGAACCGCGATTCCAAAAGGCAAATCGATCAAATTTGTATTTTAAAAAGAATAACTGCACATGCAATTAATTTTTTAAAAATTATTCTTTTTTTATACCATAATATTGTGTAGTCATATTAGAATAAAAAGGTTTGTTTAATTTTTTTATGTTTTAAAGATTTAGAAGTGTTTATTTTAGACTGTTTATTTCCAAATAACTTCCCCTTCCTCCGGTAAAAAAAATAATTTAAAAAAAGATGGCCGCAGGTTTTCCAAATACATGTGGTGATCATTTCTTGTTCGGTTTCATAAATTCTAGAAATAGCTATTAATGTTTAAAATAACTTCTTTTAATTTTAAAATGGACAAGCTTGCTCGATATTAAGTTTCAATTCTAAATGCACTCTACCAAAAAAAACCAGCACAAAAAACCTACATGGTCTCAACTTACCCAAAGTTTGCGTTCCAACTGTTCGCCCCAGAAAGGTCAGAGTGACATAGAATAGAATTTATATCCTCGTGACCTGAATTATTCAGCCAATAGAGCTTAAGACTGAAAGTTATATATATTTTTAGAAAATGACGCATAGAAATGTCAAAGCCCGAAATATAGTGAAAGCCGCCATTCATGGTTCATCACAGAAATGTAACACGCGCAGACTGCTTATTTTTCTTTTGCCAGTGCAACGGGTAAGGGAATGCCTATATATCAACTATATACAATAATAATAATAATAATAATAATAAAGTTTATTTGAAAAACACGCTTCATCCCCAAAAACTCGAAGCAAGGTACAAAGTCAACCATATTAAAAAGGGAAATAAAAACAATCACAATTGCGTCACAGGTCATGCAAACAAGATGGCGGCCGTGAAAAAACTCCCATCTGCTAAAATAGGGAGGGTAAATAGAGAGAATGTGCTGGTTTAACTATTTAAAGAGAGAAACAAAAATAGGAGAAAAATATCACAATTTAATGAAAAAAATCTCCGCCTGTACATAAACTTTGTGGTCAATGTAGCGACTTTATTGTATCTTTCTAGATAAGCATCAAGAAGTGTTAATCATTCTTGCTGTCGCTCCCTTTCCTTGCTTTAATTTCAGCCGGTATGGTACATGCTACATTTCCCTGAACTAAAACATGTGTGCTACAGTTACACACTGAGGTAAGAAAACTAATAATGAAGAAAAACAATACAAAATATTTGTAAAATAATGACAACCCAACTTACAGTTTAATAGAATACACTTTTACACACTTCATTTCAGGTTCAACAAAAAAGAAAATCCAAAAGTTGTCAGAAAATCAATACCATAAAATAATTGAAGCCATATTCCAAAATTTTATTTTACTATAATTAACCAACCAATGAAATTGTAATATAAAACATTCCATTGTCATATTAAGGAAAAGTTAACTCTAGTAACAACAAGAAGATCAATAAAAGGGAGAGTATCCTATACAGCCACAAGCTGTGGCAAGGAGAATGTAAGTTGACCAAATTATCTCATAAAAGCTATAATAAACAAGAGTTATTGCATGTGACGCAACCAGCAGAATGGGGTCACACAATGTGGAAGTTCAGTCCATAGTAAAAAATACCAAACAAACTCGCACTTAAAAATTTTAGGTCAAAAAGTAATAAAGCTAGATATTTGATTCTGGTTGCGGTCAATGCAAAGAAGAGATGCCCTGACGTCATTTGCATTTTTTTGTTACGTTTATGTTTTGATTTCACTCCCCTTGGTTTTTTTTACTAGAGTACATTCTCCTTAATCTGATGATGGCATGTATTGTATAAAATTGTATTTGTTGATTAATTATAATTTTAAAATTTCATTGGTTGGCTAATTATAATATTTTTATTGTTCCACCATATTTGAAAATGTAATATTGCATGACAGCATTAGCATGGTGTTATATTCATTTTCTGGATATTCTTTTCAGTGGAACCTGAAATTAAGTGTGTAAAAGTGTATTCTATGAAACTGTACGTTGGGTTTTCATTATTTATTTATTTTAGAATTTTTTAAAATTGTTTTTCCTCATTCTTTTAGTTTTCTTGCCACAGTGTGTAACTGCTGCTGTACATATGTTTTTTAAAAGAGGCTTTAGGGCTAGTTTTAGGGTTTGGGTTAGTTTTAGGGATACATTTAGCGTTCAGGTTAGGTTTAGGGATACATTTATGGAGTTCAGGTTAGGTTCAATACCCAGGTTAGGTTAAGGGATAGATTTCGGGCTCAGGTTAGGTTAAGGGATCGATTTTTTTAGTGATTTAGTGTTCAGGTTAGGTTTAGGGATACATTTAGGACATTTTTACATTAATTATTTATGTTTTATTCCTAATTTTAACAAGCACGAGATATTTTATTTTTACACTGTCGCCATCTTGGTTGCGACAACCCGTGAACCGGTAAAAGTTCATGGGTCGTTTCAAAAGAAAGGAAAAAAGAAACAAATCCTTGCTGATACCCCAAGACCGGTGAAAAACAAAGATGGCTAATTCTTAGAGATCATCCCGTGACGTCATTTGTCTGTTTATTATAGTTGCAGTGAATTAGGGTTTAGGTTAGGTTGAGACTGATGGATACATTTAGAGTTCAGGTTAGGTTTAAGGATACATTTAGTGACAGAATTAAATGGTTGTGTCAGCCAAGATGTCGGCCATCGCGGGACGATCTCTAATAATTTACCAAAAAGACACCCGCCTAAATTGCTGTATTTTGATTAGTTGAAACCAAAATACCCGTATGTTGAAACTTAGGTAACAAAAGGAAGACTACTGCTTAAATTGCATTTGGAATGATCATCTAAGAACTGAGAAGGGGTGACTCCTCCCCAAACCCCTCCCGTCGCTTTTAATACTAAAATAAGAAACATAGAAATTCTGGGACCCCTCCACAATTTAACAAAAAAATGTTAAATAAGAAAATGTAAATACAAACATTGAAATCTTTTTAGTATGGCACTGTAGTTGTAGACGGCGCTATAGGCAGAAATGGACCAGGGGAACCTCCGTGACATATATAACGTGGAACACATCGTCGGCCTTACCGCTAACTCAAAACCAGCCAATAATAAGACACGGGGGAAAGCTATCAAGAAAATAATAATAATAAAGAATATTTCGCTACTTCGCGAGCTGCTAAGTGGGTGTTTGTGATGAGCCCCGCGGGCCATATGTTATGCAGGCCTGCTTCTTTGCATTTACCAAATTTTAGTAAATTTAGGTACTTTTGTCAAAAATTTAAACATTTTGTAAAATAAAACAATGGCATAGTTGAATAGAGAGAATTTTTTACAGAATTATAACACCAAAATCATATTTTTAGCTGTTGCAGTTTTAACGTTATAAATTTTTAAAGTACGACTTGGTTTGTCTTTTTTTAACATGGACAGCATCTCCACATTCTGTGACCTCATTCCGCTGATCATGTCATGCACAATGACTCTATAGTTTATATAAGGCAAAGCATCCCCATATCACTAAAATACTGTTTAGGGTCGACTGATTTTAAACTTTCAACTTTGGCACATGAATAATTAATTAAAGCTTTCCCTGACCAATGGTTTAATAGTTTTTGCACACGGCAAACTCTTATGAATGAAACTCTGAGGTAGTACTACGATATAGCCGTTATGCAAGTGGCTGTGAATAGTTGCCAATGACAACGTGTTGCACAAGGAAAATTCTGATCATTTATAATATGGACTCTACAGAGTTTTTAAAGCTTAAATTAAAACATTCCAATTTAAATGTCTTCAAAATGCATTCTAAAACACAACTTATCAAATATTTTGATGTAAATAGTGGTAATAATTAAATATTTCCTAAGTATCGTCAACTTCCGCCATTAAAAAGGGGGCATGACCCACGCCATGTCGAAATTAGGCATAGCGACTTTATGGTGATGTGGGTCACGGGGATAAGCCTAGAGAACATTGGACACAACCTACATCATTGAGAATTGGCACACGTATACTTTAATATCTAATGCTTTTCACAATTTAAAATGAAAGACCTTTTCTTTTTATTTCACCAAAAATTTTGTATGCGAAGATGCCTTATATATACCAAAGATTTTCAAAATAAAGGTCGATTGAAAAAGCAAAATAGCTGGATGGAAATGTAGGCCCAGATGTCTACCATAATACAAGGCCGGAAACGGAACTCAAATATATGTCGAAAGTACTCATTCAATAATAAATAGACACACACATCGGAAAATTAAAAACTCGGATTTTTCGGTGCCGATGCCCATTTTCGATACAAAAAAAGTAGTAGTCTCCATTGTTTCATCGAAGTACCTATTAAACTGCAGTACCTACCGCTACCTCATATTCGCTGTGACCGTAAGCTTTTTATGAAATTTTTTGTTTATAAAGTGTTTAAGGCTAAGGCATCATAAAATTATAAAGCCAAAGTAAGTTAATGCATTTACGTTATTTAAAAATCATTTTTTAATGAGTTAAAGGTGAGCCAAACCTATGCCTCTTAAAAAATATTATTATAATAATAATAAATAAATAATATATAAAAATTAAAGATTCTGTATTCGTCCTCACCAGTTCTACGTTGCGTCTCGGAATGTGTAAAAACGATAGTAATAACTTGACTTTAACATGAGATTGAAGGGCATGAAAACAATCCTGAATATTGAGTAAGCGTTCTCTTGAAAGTTGTGAGCAAATGGTTTTTCCCGACCACAAATCGTCAGTGGATCCAAGCTTGTTATGAAGCCATAGAGCTGTATCTCCGGCAGCCATCTTAAGAAGGACTAGACTCTGTATACTTTTCACGTACTCGTAGCCTGAAATGGCCGAGCGAAAGGGATAAAGAAAGGGTTCTTTCTTGTCCCGGGGATCGATATCAAATGGTTTGTCATTTAGCAGGACTTTTAAATTTAATTTTACAACTTATTTATTTATATGGAATATTACAAAATTTAAAAAAATTATAAGTACCGTACATGATATTTACACTTTATCTGAAATTTATTCATCATGGTCATGATAAGTGGGGCTATAGCCCTAAGCAGAGTAGACCCTGCTTTTAATTTTAATGCGACCTGTTCTACGACATCCTTCCATTCATGTATATCGATCCATGGCTTTCCGCATCCAAGCGCGGACCACAGGCATGACCCACTAGAGTTCTAGTAGGTCGAGCCCCAGGCCTTCATTGCAACATCAATCAATCAATCCATCTCAATGTTGGTCAATGGTATGGAAAAAAAAGTCCGGCATCAATAATTTTTAGTAGACTACGATAGCCTAATATTTTCCATTTCAAGACAACTAAAGGCCGTCCACAAAGTACGCCAGGTCCTGGAACGAGGAGATAGTCTAAGAAAATGTGATAGCTTTTGACAACGTGGGGGGTGGGGGGTGTTAAAGATCTTGTGTGATGTCACACTTTTTAAACATTTTTTTTTTTATCATGCATATAAAACCTGAAATTGACAGTGATGTTTAACTTTCTGTTAAGATGGGTGTATTCTAACAGAAGATTTCAATTTTATTCATTTCATAATAGTGAAGTGTGGCTTGGGTTAAATTTTAATTAGTTTTTAAAAATTAGTTATTATGGAGGGGGGGGGGGCGGAGGGGTCCTGAGATTTGTAACAGATTGTGAAAAGGGGCCGAAAAAAGGGAAAAGGGGGGGGGGGGGAATGGGGGAGAAAAAAATTGTTTGACGTAAAAAAAAAAAAGTAATAACATTTTAATTTTTATCAGGAAATGGGACAAAATTGAGACCACTAATGGCGTCCGGGGTAAAGGGGGCTCAGTGGCCCCCCCCCCCCGGACAATTTTTGATAAATTCAAAATCCAAGGTTGCATTTTGACGCATTTCAGGCTTTCTTTTGTGTGCGNGAGCCCGCAGTGTATTCTTTTGGCATGAGCTTAGTTTCGCTCCTTTGTTTGTTCGTCCGTCAACATCGACAAGGATCAGTTAGTCATCCGGTGGGGGGGGGGGAGGAGGGGGGTCCACGGTGTGTTCGTAGGTGGCTTGCTAGTCCGATCCGTGCTCGGAATAATCTCTAACACCGCGGGCAAGGGATAGTCAGTAATCTAAGGTTGCTCTTTCGGGCTAGCTTGCGTGTCTCAGCTGGGGCTATCCTACTGGGTTCATGAGATTGAGCCCACTTCTTGACAGTTGATCGCCACCTGACTCTGACCCGGACTGTCTGCCGCCATTCAATAGGGTTGATGCTGAAGGCCTTTAGTGCCGCCTTCAGTGAGTATTTGTAACGCTTTTTTTTACCCTCTTGGGAGCGCTTGCCTATCGTGAGTTCTCCGAAGAATATATGTTTAGGGAGCCGGGTGTCTTCCATACGGGCGACGAGTCCTTTCCAACGAAATTGAGACTGCATCAGGGTGGTGAAGATGTTAGGCAGGTTCGCTCTAGCGAGGACCTCCGTGTCAGGCAGTTTGTCTTGCCACCTGATACCGAAGACTTTCCTGAGGCAGGTTGTGTGAAAGTAATTTAGTTTCTTGGCGTGACGCTGGTAGACTATTCACGTTTCACATCCGTAAAGCAAGGTCGAGAGGACTGCTGCGCTATAGACCTTAATCTTCGTTTCACGTCTGATACCCATCCTGTCCCAAACAGTGCAGCGGAGCCTGTCAAATATTGCACTAGCTTTTGTGAGTATGGCATTCATTTTGTCATCCATGACGACAGATCTGAGGAGAGTCCAGCCTTAGTAAGTTTAGAAGCTGTCCGCTGGATGACTATGCTGGGTTCAACGTAGGGCTTACTATGGGAGCTGGATGATACATCGCTTCAATCTTCTTTGTGTTGATTGAGAGGCTAAAGTTGTTGCAGGCCTCGGAGAAGATATCAACGCCTTGTTGCATGGCGGCTTCTGGGGCAGCGTTGTTCAGTAAGCTTAATTTAGTATTTAGTTATCTGAGACTTAGACCTAGTACTTAGTAGTACTGGTCGTAGCAAGAATTCCTATTAACAATGTGCACAACCAGGCAAAAAAGACCCTATGTTTCTTAAGGTCAAATCTAAAGATCGGCCACTCCAGTGTGAAAGAAAAAGCCTGTAAAGCCTTTATCTGTCCACTTTTAGATTACGCATCTCCCGTCTGGGAGCCATTCACTCAGAGGAGCATCGATAGGTTGGAGGCGGTCCAGCGACGGGGAGCACACTTTGTTCTGAACCGCTACATACTGGAAAAACTGGGTTGGTCATTTTGGAGGAACGACGACGATCATCCAGACTCTCCTTGATGTATAAGATAAAACGGACTGGTTCACTGTTCCAACATCACACAGAAACTCGTCTCTCTCCCACCTAGACAGCGACGAGGCCATGACAGGCAGTTCCGTCTTATAACAGCAGGAACTGCATAAGACAATCGTGAATCAGGGACTGGAACAAGCTTCCAAAAGGAAAAGTTGAGGCGACAACACTTAACACATTTGCGCCTATTGTCTCACGTCTTCCAACCCCCAGTCCTGAAACCCTTGATCTGTAGCCCTTGAAACCAGTGAAATATCCTCTACATACACAGGAGCAAAAATGATCAATACATTGATCGTGGGCCCTTAATATATATAAGAAGAAGATGCAGAAAAACGGGGGTTCCCACCGTTGGGTAAATTGTATGAGCTTCACCATAAGACAAATATTTAATGTAATCGATAAAAAACGAATTAAAATTAGAAAACTGTGACGTAGAACGCAAAAATCCGAGTACACCACAGAGCCGATTGTAAAATGGCCACTTTAGTGTTTGGGTCATTTTTTAACATGCGCAGACAGCATGCGTGACTGAGTATTTGGGGTGGGGATAACTATTAATAATAGAAATAGTGCAAAATACCATCATTTTAATTTTTATTGTTCAAAAAGTTCTTGATACGCCTTCCTCCGCACTTCGTAGACTCAGCCATAAGTCCATGCATAGACGTAGACCAACCTGATTATCTGTTCTTTATAATACAGGTCTAAAATTATATATTATATGAAACTCTATACGCCTAATATGCGTATTATATATTTAATAATAATAATAATAATAAGAAATAAAGTTTATTTGAAAATCACACTTCATTCCCAAAGGCTCGAAGCGTGGTACAATGTCAACCATATTAAAAGAGAAATAAAAAATCTATATTGTACCACATTGAAATACAAAACGCAACATTGCAAAAACTACATACGAGAATACCCATTATAAGTCTTTTTTTATGCATTGCAACCATAAACAACACAGGCCAATATACATTTAGGAGATAATAGCTAGCTGGAAAAGATGGCAGACAACATCACCCCAGCAGGTGTTTGCGAAATAGATGTATTTTCAATTTGGTTTTGAAACACTCCAGTGTCTGGCTGTTTCTGAGTGCGACACAAAGTGTCTTCCAAATTGTTGGGCCAGCAAATGCGAAAGTGCGCCTTCCATAAGTCTCAAGGCGAACACGTGGTATCGAAAGTTTGCTACTATCGGATGAGCGGAGTTGTCTAGTGGGTACATAAGTCGTCATGAGCGCTTTGAGATAGGACGGTGCCAGGTCATGCAAGCAGCGGTAGCACAGAGTTGCAATTTTGTACTCTATGCGATCACGGACCGGCAGCCAATGCAACTCTCTCAGAAGTGTTTTAGCACGGTCAAATTTGCGTTTGCGAAGAACAATGCGAGCCGCATTATTCTGTGCTTTTTGAATTTTATCCAGGAGCGTAGCTGGAAGACCCACCATGAGAGCATTCCAATAGTCCATGCGTGATAGCACGAATGCAGACATCAGACTCTTTGTTGCATCAAAGGTTAAGGTCTGATATAACTGATTCTGCGCAGCTCTATAAAAATCGCCTTGCAAAGCATGTTATAGAAAAAAAAATATACATAGATACGCTGAACAGTACCAAAAGAAATAAAAAGAAGTGGATGCCCCGCAACTTGTTGCATTGTCTCCAAGCACTAAGTTTAGGCTATGAAATCCCTATAGGGCGTTTAAAAGATCCTTGGATTTTTTTTCATAATTCATTTCTGTACTCCTTTATCTTCCCTCTTCATATTTGAACCAGTGTCTTGAAAGCCAGAATAAAAGCTTTGGGAAAAAAGACGAAAAACTAAGTTTAGTATTCCGTATTAACCATGGGTGAGTGGCGTGCAATGCATAAAAAAAGACAACCAATATATTTATTTACTTTTTAAAAAGTTATCAAAGGAGGCGACGTTAGCAAAAAAGATAATTATATCAGAACTAGTGCGCCAATATCCGAATGTCACAAACTAAGCAGCAAAAAAGGTTAGTGAGATTTATGAAACTGACGTTTGGCTTTCAAGATATTATTGTTTGGTTTGGAATCTCTACATCCAATCAAGAGAATTGCTTTCAAACGTCCATCAGTCAATCTCGTTCGATGTGTTGACTTCACATAATTCATTTTTGAAAATTTTTGCTCACAGACAGAAGTTGCACCAAAAACTGCGTTTGCCCTGAGAACGAAAGGCGGTGGTGTTGATTTTGGAGATTTTGTTTACGGTTGTACCCGGGAGGGGGTCTAAATATTAAGTCCATAAAATTAACACTACACCATTTTTGTAATGATAATGGTAGTGATAATATTGTCCCTTTGTGTGTTTTATAATTAACTCGCTAGACATGGCAACTATAATATTAGCATAGTCACCGTAGTGACAATTTTAGTCAATCCTCGCTTTTGTTTTCTTCGTTGCTGAATGCAGTAATTTTGTGACACAATAATTCCTTTCGGCGAACCTCGGGCGCTGCGATTACAATTTTTAATATCCCCATATGTTTCAAACATGAAATGAGTCAAACAAAGTAAGTTAAACCTGAAAAATGAACACAACTAAACAACGAACGTGTCGGCAGGAAGCGTTCGTCAGCGAAGAGAAAACTAACAGAATAAAATAGCACTTAGCTTAGAAGTAGTATCCGAGAGGGCAGCAAATGAATTGTGCGAAGCAAATGAATATGTTTCAAACACTC